CAACACAAACTTGGATCCCATGGCATACAGTGACGTCGGGACTATCCCGCATCAGAACATCCCGTGTGTCTTGGATTTTCTGCGGATCCGCTACATGAACAACGCTATGTATACGGCTGTGGAGCCGCTAATTGTCGCCATCAATCCTTTTCAAGATCTTCACAACGGTACTGCGGAGGTTATCGCTCAATACCGAGATGCAGCTGACTCTGACAAGCTGCCTCCGCACATTTTTCAGATATCGCGGCGGGCCGTTGACAATCTCCATGGAGTGAGAAAGAGCCAAACCATTGTGGTTTCTGGAGAATCTGGGGCTGGAAAGACGGAGACCACGAAGCAGCTGATGAAGTACTTCGCCAGTGCAAGGTCAGGAAACCTAGACGCGCGCATCCAGCAGGCCATCATGGCAGCAAATCCAGTGCTCGAGGTGAATCAAGGCACCGTCAGGGCACTTTCGCTGCATGTTGCCGTTGAAGCGGTGTTTATGAAGGGTGAGAAGATTTTCGTTTTTCACTTCTGCTCTGGATGTCAACAGGCGTTCGGCAATGCGAAGACCGTCCGGAACAATAATAGCAGTCGTTTTGGACGTTTCATGCAACTAGATGTGGCCAAGGGAGGTGGGATTCGTTACGGCTCTGTCATCGCGTTTCTTTTGGAGAAGAGCCGAATTTTGACCCAAGTAAACATTCCGAAGCAATAACTCTCGGTGCCTATTGCAGGGACCACGCATGCAGCGGGCTTTATTCGTATCAGTTGTCCATTTTAGGACGTCATAGCATTCTGTTGTGAGGTGGCATCTTTCGTTATTTGTTTACTCTTGTGGTGATAGGATCGGAATGAGCGCTCGTACCATATCTTCTATCAGATGCTCAAGGGGAGCTCGCCACAAATGAAGGAGCGCTACAAGCTGCTGGGCTGCAGCAAGTATAAGTTTCTCAACCCACACTGTGTCGATGCTCCTGGTATGCTTACCTATAGTGCTCATCTCAGGCTCTGTCCTTGGTTGGGAAGTCGTACAGTGATTGCTCCATTGAGCCTTCGTCCGTATGTGTAATTAGTCCTCGATCGTTGCAATTCTGTGTGTTCAATCAAAGGAGTCGATGACCTTGAAGAATTTGAAGCTGTAGTGAAGGCGTTTGAGTCCATGGGCTTGAAGGAGGAGCAGCGCCACACCATATGGTCCGTTGTGTCAGGGGTGTTACTTCTGGGAAACGTGATAACAGCTGGTAGGCCGGCCTCAAATTCAACTACACGTGTTTTATGAAGCACAGTTTTCCCGTAGAGTACTTGGCATCTTGCAGAGTGTCCGACGGAGCGAACCCGCACCAGAAGTGCTTCAGCTTCTGCCAAGTTTCGGAAGTACACGTCACTTCTTGTCAGAGTAACGGCTGGAAACAGTGTGCTGGCTACATCTTCCTTGTCAGGCAAGAAGGAGGGCGGGGTTGACAACGCTGCAGTAATAGCTGGCGAAAGTTTACGCGTTCTTAAGGACGCCTGTGACCTTCTGTTTTTGGATGGAGATCGCATTCTGACGGAGCTAACGGTCAAGGTTACCTACGCTGGTAGGCTGGATTTACTATGGTGCTGTTTAATCGTTCTTGTCCAATCAGGAAGGTACTCCTGGTGACAAAGAATGGAACTGCAGTATCGACCGTGTTAGTGTGCCTCATCCCTAGCTCTGAGACGAGCATATTTGTGAGTATGCAGTGCTGCTTGCGGTTACGTTGCGCTTGGCATTGCTACTTGGCAGGCAACAACAAGATCGAAGGACGATGGACAGCCGAGGACTCAGACACGCTCCGTGGCTCTCTAGCGAAAGCTGTGTACGAGAAGTTGTTTCTGTGGATTATCCAAGCTCTCAACTCCACAATAGAGCCCCAAGGGGGATTCCAGACATTTATGGGTAGGGCCAACAGTTTGGGATAAAGTTCCTCTTGCTATTGGCATTCCTTGAGCGGGTATTTATTCATTCAAGGAGGTTTCGTATTTTTGTTTTTTCAGGACTCTTAGATATTTTCGGCTTCGAAGTATTCCAGAATAACTCTCTTGAGCAGCTGTTTATTAACATCACGAATGAAATGCTTCAGGTTGGTGCTTCAGCCTGGACTTTCTGTATTCAGCACATACGAAAAGCACGAGTCATGCATTTGCGTTCAGTTGTCCGCGCGGCATTCTAGCTTAGTATTTTAGAGCGGCAACGCGTTGATATACCTGTGCCCACTTCAGAGTACATTTACAGAAGTGGTTTTTGCAAGAGAAAGTGCTCTTTATAAGAGCGAAGGCATTACGGCGAAGGATATTGAGTTCACGGCCAACACAGACGTCATAAGCGTATTGATTGATAAGGGAAATTCCATCCTCAGCGTTCTGGAAGACCAGTGCTTGGCGCCTGGTGAGCACCCAGCAGTGTAGCGCTTCTCTAATCGAGTGTGAACTTTCACTTTGCCTTCTTCAGGAGTTAGAGTTATGAATATTTTTCCTCAGGGGGCAGCGATGAAAAACTTGTCAGCGCGTGCTGCACGAAGCTTAAATCCTGCCCAAGATTTGTGCCGGCCAAACTTGACGCTCAGAGCTCTTTCTTTGTAAAGCACACAATTGGAACAATCAAATACAATGCGCAGGGATTTATATTCAAGAACAAGGACGTTCTGCGCCCTGAAATGGTTGAAGTGGTGCAGGTACATTCCTCTTTTCTGTGCACGGGCAAACCAAAATTTAATGGGAGTTCATATGTACATTATGGAAACGGCCCTTCGCACTGGCTGGTCATTGCGGGAGATTTAGTTTTGGGTTTTCAGTTTATTTCCGACTTATCGTATTTGCGTGGTTGGTCAGGCTTCGAGAAACTCAGTTGTGCGGGCTCTTTTTGAAGGGGTCAAAGTTGAAAGGGGAAAGATGGCGAAAGGGTCTCTGATCGGCTCGCAGTTCTTAGCGCAGCTGAATAAGCTAATGTCACTGATTGGTTCAACAGAATCTCACTTCATTAGGTAAGCACGCGCTGCATTTCAGTATTGTAGGGTGGGGATGTTCTTAGCGCAGCTGAATAAGCTAATGTCACTGATTGGTTCAACAGAATCTCACTTCATTAGGTAAGCACGCGCTGCATTTCAGTATTGTAGGGTGGGGATGTCGTTGCCAATGCACAACAACAGCTTCTTCTGCCCTTGAACATAAGGAAGCCCATGCTGAGGTGGTCTGTTAGTGTACTTTGGCGGCTAGACTGGTATGGAGCTCTGAAATTTGTGTAATTCTGTGTATCTGTTTGCTTGCTAAGGTGTGTGAAGCCCAACGAGGAGAAGAAGCCTCTGTTGTGGATTCAGAGCAAAGTGCTCATTCAGTTGCATGCGCTCTCAATTATCGAAGCTTTGCAGCTTCGTCAGCTTGGATATTCGTATCGGCGTCAGTTCCAGGTTTGTTCGGAATCCCTGCTGTTGCCATTAGCAGATATACAGTTATCCGGAAAGGCACTTAATGGTACAACGATACGCTAAGGATACGATGTCCGCTTATTCTGAGCAGGTAGGCATGCTGCCATGTGCTAACCGTTCAGGAATTTGTTGAACAGTTCCAGTTCATCGACATCAGTGCGGCTAAACAGACGGACAAGAAGGCTGCCACGCAAGCAATACTTGCCTCGGCGAATCTGGAGAGCGGTATGCTACCCCGTACTCTGCTGTCGTGACTTTCCAGGCCGTCAGCTGACAATATGCTTGTTTACGAGTACCAAGTGTCGCACCCTATGCGAGCCTACATATTTGTTGCAGGCACATACGCCCTAGGGAAGAGCATGATCTTTTTAAAGCCAGAGAGCGCGAAGTATTTGGTTCACCTCCAAAGAAGCCGCCTCTCTACATGGGGTCCACTTATTGGTGTCATAGAGGCCATTTACGTGCAAAAGAAGCTGCAGACGAAGAAGCAGGCATTCTCTATATGCTCAAGGATCTGCGCTCATGCAAGAAGAAAGCTTACACAACATGCTTGATCTGTTGTAGTTACCAGTGCCGTGGCGTGGTGGCTGCTGAGATCCGTTACGCAGCGCGGGTGCCTGTTCCACAGCGCAGTACAGCTGTAGAGCATGCTAACTAGTATCTTAGATTCCCACGACCAAAGTAGTCACTCCAATTGGTTAGCGTATGCAGCGCACGAAGACGGTCGGCACCCACCAATGTGCTGCTCCACGGTACCCAACGCCCAAATACTCATTAGCTGGATCCTTACTGCTATTCCTCGTAGCCTGTAGTAGTAGGGGGTGCTGGAGGTCCGCGAAACAACATTACCCAAGCGGTAAGGACCAGGCATGATATCAGTGCATAGAAATAATACAGTCCAAGCTTATGCGTTGCCCGCTGAGGAGCTTGTGTTTGCACAGAAGCTCGTTAGCGGGCTTGATTCACATGGCAGCGCAGTCAGGTTCTACGTGAGCTGATACCTGCAAGAAAACTGCTAGTGCCTGAGTGGATGAGGCCGCATTTCGTCTATGAGGCGCACCTGCTCCATGTGAGCAAAGCCATAAGTGTTACAATTTCATGCTAGCAGGCGCACGACACTTATGAGGGGTCGGTGATGGTGAGCTCCGGCAAGGAGAAGGGCCTTTTGTGTGTTCGCTGTACTTGACAACAGCATCACCTCTTCAAGGCCCCAGTGAGCCGTTACCCTTCCTCCTCGGTGCTTCGTCTTAACGCGCTGAGAGCTCTCCCCAGTATACGCGTTGTGAGGGCAATATTGCTTCTCGACTTCTTTCTCAATCTGCTTGGAGCAGGAGTTCAGTTACTCTGCTTGGGAACCATAGTTCGCCCCCGTTAGAAGCTATCCCCATCACGCTGGTGCACTGCACCTCTTGCTTCCGCAACTGCTGTCTGTGCAGTGATACAAATGCCTTGTAGTGCCACTAGCTGCGACCAGATGTACGTTTGCTTGCCGAGTTTGTGGAACAGTGCTAACAGATTCGGCTTCCATCCCAGGCTGGAACTCCGGATCACTGTAACCGCCATACTAGGGTCTCAATTACTGGGATTCGAACCGCGTGTTGGTCCCGAGATTTGCCCTGCAGTGGATAGGCTTTCTCCATGAAGTCCTCCCGTGCTTGCCTTTGTTAAAGCCAACTCTGCTTTCTTCAGCAAATTCACCGTAATGGAAAGCCGTCTAGGTAGAGCTTTGGACGTGCGTCTCAAGCACTGGCGTTTCCATCGCAGCTCATCGGTAGCTGCTTCCAGGGGTGTTAGGCCCCGGTTACATCTCACACTGTAGTCAGCACCCTGTGGAAGCACAAACAGCAGCAGCTTCGGTCTGCACGCCACAAACCGAATGAATCTCTTGCGGATAAATGGGTGAAGCAAACTCGAGCTAGGCAACCATACATGTATGTGGCTAACGACAGCCTCCTTACGCGACTTAACAGAAGCTGCACAATCGCAGGACGCTCAAAGGCATCGAAGAGCGGTGTTTGGCCGTTACTACGCTGCTGGTTCAGCATGTCTGGGACAAGACTGAGAAGCAACTCGATCACGTCAACGTGGCCTCCCTTCACTGCATAGTGCAATGGAGTGTCTCCTTGTTTGTCACGGATCTCAAGGAATCTTCTTTGGTTATTCTTTCCGCCTGTAGCGTGAAGACTGGCTGGACAAGAAGAGAATTTGTTTTCGCACCACGGTGCAGCACACGGGCAATCGTAGAACGCTTCCAACACCCAACGCTAATAAATTAGGCGATCTGCTCAAATCCAAGTGGATGGAGTGAAACGCCACCACTCCATGCACTCGCATGGTGCTGCTACAAAGGCTCGTATGTCACCTGTTTGCTCAAGGATCCACTTCAGACACTTGGCGTGGCCATAAGCAGCAGCGTAGAATGCTAGTGTTTGGCCCTTGTCGCACCGGAGGGAAGTAAGTGAAGGGAGGCTGACTCGTTCCTTTAGAGGTTTGTCCTCATAGATGCACTTGAACAGCTCCAGCACTTGCTCATCGTCTTTTCGGGGGTGCCGCAGCATGTGGTGGAACAGAGACATTCCAGAAGCCTTGCTTGTAGCATGCACCAGCTGCCTGAACAGGGTGCATCAGAAAAACGACGTCTTCGCATTCCATCTACGCACAATCACACGCCAGCAGCAGTTACTGTAGTTCTGTCCAAACAGCTCTCGACGGCGAAACTTGGTAAGAGACAGCAAACCGGGACCTACGGTTCTTCCTTAAGTCGGTTGAATATATCTGGGCCTAGCATGCTCACAACGCACTCTGGCCACCCTCCCATCGTCGGTCTTTGCACCGCATCACTGCATGCTTCTGACGTTGTGCACAGGGATCCCTCCTGTCTGCCAGGAGACTGTTCCAAGCTGAGTGCACCGGCCTTTCGCGGCTGGCCTTTTAGCTGGGTTTTCGATGTCAAAGCACAGTGTCCACTCAAGTGTCGTAGGCTACTCACGTCCCCCCAAAATGCGAACGGTTCCTGCGTGTGTCGTTCTTGCTGAATATTTCCAGTTGCTGTATTTGCAGTGCATGCAGCACTGAGAGGCTTCACAGACCCGTTTTTATGAGAGTCTTCAGTGAATTCATCACGGCAAATGCTGTGCAATTCAATGCATTTCCTGCCTGTACAGTCGTGTTCCCCATCGCAGGACGGAACGTTGTCTTTGGCACGTTTCGCCCTCACTTTCAGAGTATTTTCCTCATCCCGACTGGATACTACAGAGACATCCCACAGTGCTTGTTCCCCTGCACGTGTATCGACGGACCTATGTCGGGAGGTGCATCCACTGCAGATCTCGCTTCTATCGGAAATGCCAATGCAATTGCTCGGCACAGTGCCGAATGCTGTTAGTTCGGGTTTTACGGTTAGAGCATTCGCCCTAAAGCGACTCTTCCTCTCATGTATCCTTGAGCCCATGTCCACGCTGATAACAGACGAAGTACACTGGCCCCGATCATCAGCACCACTGCCTTCAGCAAGGTTTCGTTGAACTTCCCTTAGGCCGGCGCTTGGTCTTATTCGATGACCGACACTGCTCTGCGCGCATGGCAGCTTAACGGGATCACTCGGGTTTGTAACTATTCGTACGTCGACCGTTTCTTGGCGAGTACGCCCATGCCGGCATCTGAATGAGTATATTGCCCGACTTCCCTGCATACCGTTCCGACATTCCATAGTGCCCCTCCTTTTATTCTGTGGCGATTGGAGGAGCTGTCGTTGAAGGTAGACACTCCTTGTATATAGCTTTTCCTGCCGAAGCAACGCCCGTAGTCGTCTCTTCAGGTCGGCTCGTGGTGTTGTGTCGAAGTCCCCGCATCTGATCGAGGCTGCGACCTGGACGCCTCTGCATTGCTCCATTTATTTATTTCCTTCTCAATTTGTTGGAATCGCGTCTTCAGAACACACAGGGAGAAGAATAACACTACGCCTCCATGTGTGCGCTCTCTTTCGAGTCTCGGGAGGACCATCTGTTGAGAAGTAGGTGGCTGGGTCGGCTCTTCCCAAGCAGGACTTGACTGGTATGCCACTGCAGGCAATGTTTTCTAGCACTGTTCCAGTCCTTCGACGTCCAATTCTTCGACGTCAATGAAAACCCTGCTATTGCATGGACTGTAAATCCTTCACACACTCTCCTCCACCTCAGCTCTTACGCGGAACATTCACTATCTCTGTTCACTCCTGTTAGTGGTGCCTCAATCGCCACTTCTTGCGTCCCTGTGCCTGGATATCTCAGTGTTCCGAAGGTAAATGCACAGCGAAAAAGTCAAGTGTCCGCAACGGGCCCCGTCTCGGAAATTCCGTACTGCGCCAGCCTACACTTAAAACACAGACTCGAGCCATCTTTCACCCAAGGGTCACCCCTGTGAGCCCAACTGCTGAAATCCCAAGACCTCTTGTTTGTCGTCCTGTTGCTCGTTCGTTTGGGATCAGTTACCCGAAGAGGTCCCCAATCCGCAGAAACATAAAGCTGGTGAGGCTTCCTTTTGAGATGATCTGTGCAGTAATTAGCCCGTGAAAGACGTAACCTGCAGGGACTCACTAGCATCTACCTTAGTGTGCCAGTCTCTTCAGTAATTAGCCCGTGAAAGACGTAGCCTCCAGGGACTCACTAGCATCTACCTTAGTGTGCCAGTCTCTTCGTCAGGTATGGGATTCGCACGACATGAGCTCGCATTCAAGGTCAAAACAGAGTCGCCAATTATTGTACAGATCAGAAACGAGTAAAATATACCTTGAAACGAGTAAAATATACCTTGACATGAGCGACGGAGCAGCGATGAGAGTCGCAGCGGTGAGGGACCACCAATGCACCATTGGTGGTGCGAGAGCGCTGCCATGAGGTGGGCTGTCTCGCTTGCTTGAAACTACTCCCACAGCTAGGCAGTACAGCTTCATCAAAGGACGTAAGATACAGCAACATAATGCCGAAGAGCGAGGCTTCTTCAATCCAGAGAGGTGTGACTGTTTGTTAGTGAAGTGCAGCGTTACCTTTCCTGGGCTTGTCACTGTACCTGTGGGGACTAACAGTTTGACATTTAGACCCTGGCGCAGCATGCAATGACCTACAAAACAACAGTCAATCAAGTGCACAAAAACAATTTTAACTCGAATCTTATGATATCCTACTCACCGCAGCCAGTGAGGTAACCGGGCCCCCAATGGTGGACTACAGGATTGAGCGTTCGATGATGTGTGTCTGTTGGGAATGATGCCGGAAGAGTGGACATTCGAGTGTGTGTGAATTCCTTATTCCAGCAGCACTACTCAACCAAGATTACTTCCCTCCCGCGCAGGCGTACTTCAACATTTTTGTGCAACCCGCTGTAGACCGTCACACTCCACCAGGTGTACTCGAGGCAACCGTACCTCGAGCACAGCTGGTGAAGTGTGTCGGTCTATAGCTGGTTCCTACTTTCCCGCCACAGTCTGGCAGGCGACGCATTTTTACCTGGAACCGCTTTTACATACACGTGTGCAGGTGGGGAAGTCCAGAACCTGGGTGTCAGAGCTGGGTGCATGCGTCACGGATATTTTTGATCATACAGACTGGGAATCATCCATGGATCCTACTTTGAAGCGCACCAAGGTAACATTTCTAAAGTGCTACACAAAGGAGGAGACAGCTGGACACTAGTCACCCAAGACTGTCTTTTAATTTGAAATACGCACAGGCTTGTAGGTAAAACATGCGGGTCATTTTCTGATTGAATCGCTGAATAGTAGTGTTAATCTGATTAGCCGAAAACGTACATACAGGCGCTAAAGAAAGGAAGTCACCTGAAATGTGTAGGCGCTCGGGTGGCAGGATTACTGGTTCGCGGACACACACGCACACCGTGCAGGATTGTTGCTTTTTGTGGAGGTGGGACGGCGCTCATAAACGTACTGCAAACGAAAACCTGGAAGTGCCGTAAAGCACAGTTACAACAAGCTTTTCGAGACCATGACCCAGCGAGAATGCCTCACGCACGTTGCGGTATAAGCAAACTGACATAGTCACAATGCGAACTGTGGAACACGCATCTCATCACAACACAAACAAGGCTAATGCCTTTGGGAATATTAGCTTAAACAATGCCGTGGTAGCCAGTGGAAGTATCCTCGCACAGAAGTTGCATGAAGCCTTCAACTCTCTAAAGTGGCTACACAGCTTGGTCAAGTGCCTGATGCTCTTTGCAGTTGGGTTTTTAACCCGCTTAATTTTAACGACAAATTGCCTGCTTCCGATGCAACATCGGAAGCAACATCGGAAGCAAGCACTTTGTCGTTAAACTCGTGGCATTTATGTTGGACGCTGGCGGACCTCGACAATTTTGACTAGTGCTTCATTTCTCTGTAACAGCGTCTTTCCATCTGTGCTTGATTATTGCCCTCCAGCACACTTGCAGCAACTGAACAAATTCCAACGGCAGTGGCAAGCCTCGGCAAGCTGCCCTTGAGAGGTTTGCGGACGTGCCAGCATTGGCACGTCTCCTCCACGTTTTGTGAGTTTCACTTGGCCCACGTTAGCCCATTCTAGAGGATATAATTATTGTTCAGCCGTACAGTCCTAACATGCTTAAGCGTATACATATTGTGAGTTTTCTTTTTAACTACGACAATGACCAGCTGTATTCGTTTGCTTGTCTTCCAACTTTCCCATCACCATGCTATCGGCTCGCATGCCTGGTATTTTCCGTAGTGCCACTTTGACCTGTCCTGTTTTCTTCAGTATATACCACTTTTAATTGCCCCTGCAGTGGCTTCTGAGCTGCGGCTGGTCTCCGCTATGATGCTGGTCATAGTCATGCGCCGCTGCTTGTGTTGCCCCTTCACACAGCTGTCAATAAGTAGCTTTGCAGGATCGTTAAATATTCAGTTCTCCGTCACGCCGTGCTCTTCTATCATTTTGATGCGTAGAAGGGACTTAATTTTCCCGGCATGCTTCGTGGCGCTTCTTTTGAAAGTGTCACGTAATATGTTTGCTGTCCCAGAATGACGTTTGTATCTCCTGCACTCGCAGCAGAGAGCTTTTCCCGCAGCTATTATATTGTAGCTAAAACATGATTCGGGACGTTTCAGCCTAGCTTCACTGACGTAGTTACAAAGAAAATCTTCCTCGTATTTTCAAGTTGCTCGGGAACCTGTCGGGCTTGCTGACAACAAATTTGAAAATGCCACTTTACAGCAGGCATTCCCAGCTTGTGTCTCGATGAGCTGATCTAACTGAATCTCATGCATGTTACTACAGGACGTTGCGAATTGGCACTAGTCGTCAACGTTCCCTGTGAACTTCAATCGCAAGCATTTTCTGCACCCCCTTGGAGCACACGATTGCCATGATGGCAACGCAATCATTTCCAGCATTGCATTCGAACTTCGAATTGCGTCACAAATTCGATGGTAGAAATGAACGCTGCCAAACCTTAGCGACCCGCACGGAAACCTTGTGTCTTCATCGTTTTCAGAAGTTGGCAGACCTCGCGGAGAATCACACCTTGTTCTTCAATGAGACAACGTAGTACTTGAGCCTGCGCGTTTGCACACCTAACAGAAGCAATTACCTTTGATGGCGTAGGTAGCAGCTGATTTCCTGCCCGTTCCCGCAATTCCGGAATATCATGCGGTATTATGTATCAAAAGAAGGTGTGTCAAATTTATGCAGAGGTCTGACTCCATGCTGCATTGTGAACAGCGCCTGAGCTGGTTGTAATGCGGCCTTTGAGCATTAGTGCTTCAATCAAATAGAGGCCCCTGACTGCAGCTAGCCCAAGTTATTGCTTAGCTCGTGCGACCCTCTATTTGCATGTTGGATTTACATCATTGGAGCCGATGACCCCTTTTTGAAGCTTTCCGGGAGGTCCTTGGGTACGTTTAACGATTGTCTCCGACGGAATATGAGTCTGAGAGCGCCTCTGTAGAGATACCGATGGAGTTCGAACTTGTTTCGCAGTCCTAACCTGTCGTGACAGAGTTCCTGCAAGCAGCTCACGAGTTGTCAGCCGTTCATGGTATATTTCAATGAAGGAATGACAAGTACAGAGGAGGATGCTTAATCAGAAACACTGCCAATATGACAACAGTGTTACGAGCGTGAGAGACCCCAATACTGTTTCTGCTGGCCATGTGGCCAAGCATGGCACTCGCGAGTGCAAAACACCAAGTGTCTTGTGACTTTAAGCGACAGACAATCAATTAAATTTAAACTACCAACGAGTAACCGTTACAGAATTCAAAATTGAGTAAGCTCACCTTGTGAGATCAAGCCCTTAGCTCCACTTTGCGGAGGCACTTGAACAGGCGGTGGAACTCGGCGCATCATAATGCCAACTTCATCCCTCTGCATATGTGTCAGAACTGAGGCCAGCCACTCATACAAGTCCATCATCACGACCAGCTCTAAAGAACCTTTAAACTGGCGAATTCCATCCCGTGAAGCCAGCTGATGGTCCGGAGAATGCAGTAGCTGCTGCTGTCTTCCGTAGGACATAAATTCTGCAATGAATTCAGGAGAAACCTTCGACATCTTCATTTCCAACGAGTCCGCCACGGCTGGACGGAGTGTTAAAGGACACACCCCAGCACCTGCCGACGAAGCATTATTGAGAGTTGCTTTATCAACGCCCGAGCCTCTGCTGAAAACGTCAGGAGAAATGAAAGGCTGCGCAACTAGCCGAACCACGGGATCTCTTAGGGGCGGCCACGCTTGGTCGCTGACGAGGTGCATTGCATACCCTGATATGCGAGCCATTTTGGCCCATAAATAGCAGTCGGACCTGCAAGGCACTTCGGCGCCTGAAGATGGTCGCCGCTTGGGAGAAAATAAGGAGATCAATTCACTAAGTGAAGGGGCAGTTAGCGAATTGCAACACAATTGAAATACAGCCCTTAACAAAATTGCGGAAACATCAAAGAGCCACGTTGGGTATGAAGTGGTAGTGGCCCTAACCAGTGCCTGCCTGTAGTTGAAAAACAAAGGCACATTCCAGACTCAAGGTAAGAAAGGCAAGGCCTGCAACCGATACGGTTCGTGTCGTACAGACTGACGCTTGGGCTTGTGGCACAACAACGATGTGCAGACATGCACGTCTACAAGAAGTACGCCACATGTTAAGAACATAGAATTACCTAAAAGCCTCGTCGTCGTAGTTCCAGAGCTTGAGGAAGGCATGCCGCACTCTGCGGAATGTTGCTGGCTCTGAAGCAGCAGTCGTGCTGAGCAGTCGGTACAAACCCCCAGCACGACACATCAATCACTACGCGGCTTCATGCTTAGGCAGGAGTCGTTTCGCCACCATCTTTCACGCATTACTCATGAATGTAGGCCGTCCTTAAAGAGATCGCTTAACACTAAGGAAATGCCACAACGGAGAAGTTGCTGCTCCTGAAATTCTTCGAACAACTCATTGTAAACTAGAAACACTCAGCAATCATTTGTGGCTAGCGTGAAAAGAGACTTGAGCCTGGAAACCGACCACTGGGCTTAGTGCGTAGTATGTAACTGCTTCCTTTAGCCAGCTCCATAGCATCGTGAACGTGCCGCACCTCTGTTTAAAGGGTAAAATACGGAGCGGGGAGGCTGGACCTGCTGCTTCATCGTAGCTCAACGTCACTGGTCGCTCAAATGGCTCTTCTGTGTGCAGCATTCTAAGGCAAGCCTCTTCATGTGCTTGGTGGTTTGCCATGTGTGCATCTAGGAGTAGGCGCTGTTGCACTTCAGCTTTGTGAGCCACATCTCCCTGAGCTGCTGATCCTACTTCTTTTTTGGGGGCCTTGGAAGGCTCAGCTGCGCGCAAAACCTTCTTGCGCGGCATGAGCGAGTCTTTGGAACTTTTGGGTTCCATGGTGGAGTTCACTTGGCTGCGTGCCTTTAATTCGGCGAGCGGCCTCCGGATGGTGTCTGCGACGTCTTCCATTCTCGGGGTTGCTGCTTCTGGAGGACATGCGGGCGGCAAATTACCAGTCCTGCACAGTTAGTCGCTTTCACAGCAACACACGACTGCCTCTTACCGGTGGGACGACTTTGTCAGTTTTAGAAAGATCTGGGCTATTTAGTGAAGTGCGCTAAGGGCGCCTATGTTGTGGGCCATAAAATAAATACAAGCTTACTTGACCTCCTCAACCTCGTTTTGTTGAAGTCCCAGAAGCTGAATGAGAGCTTCTGCCGATAGAGGGCAATGCTGTCCCTCCTTAATCGGATGCGTTTCAGGCGATCCGGTACCTTGGTGCAGCAGCACGTAAAGAGAGTTGTACAGAATGAAACGCATGCGATACTGTGCGGCCTGTAACAAAGCCCTGTTGCAACGCCTTACGAGCAGCAACCTTGATAGCGAAAGGAATCCGCATATTTTGGACACTATACGAGGATTTTCCCACACACTGTTGGATGGAGAGGGCTCATGTAACGTAGAACATAGTTGCTTTGCGGCTGATAGCTTGGCAGTGAAGTCAAGTGCCTTGTTGGCAGCAGCATTGCTCCACCTGGGCGTGGTGGCCCCTTTTGGCCCTTTCCTTTCACCATCTACCCCATGTACTACCTCTCTGCGCCTCTCCTCTGGCATGTCTCCATCAGGCAAATCTCTCTCTTTGCCTCTGCAGGAAGCATCTTGATCCGACTGAGGTGCGGATTCTTCAGCCATAGTGACACAATCTTTGTCCATTGGGGAGTTTGCGTCGATTGAAGTGGGGAGATCTGGCGGAAAGCTATCGCCAAGACCATCAGAAGCAAACGGATGAGCAGAGGTGCGCAGAATATTGTTGTCTTTCTTATATGTCCTATCTGAAGCATTTCCAGCTGCTGATGGCGTGCTGGCTTGCACAACGGCCTTCTGGTGCCCGCACGCCAAGTACGTCGCACATGCACTGCATAAAGAAGCGGCCTGCTCAATGGAGAGGTGGTTAAGGCGTGCATGCGTTTGAGAGTCCAATAGCGCAGAACCATCTCCGTGAAAAGCCTCATCTAACGCCCTCCCGCAGCGTGAGCACTTGCTTTTCGCATATGCACTTCCGAAATTGTTTATCTCAGTTTCGTCTCCTTTCCTGCAGGAGTCCCCCGAAAGTGGTTGGAAACGTCCATCCCATATGCCCCATGAATCACAACACGGGCAGCAGCAGCACGGTCGGCCTGCAAGTTGTAGGCCTTTTCTTTCTGCTGCCCTTAAGCGGCAACAGCGGCAACCACAGGTCGCACCACCGTAACCGTCCCAGCCATCGGCAGTGTAGCTGCCAGGATTGTTCAGATGAGAGGATTTTGGTAGCGCTAAACCTTGAGTCCTTGTGCAGCCTGGAGAGGGAGAACGTAACTTCCGACCTATGCGCTGCAGGGGACGATTTGATGTGGACACGCCATACGCTCTCATCCAGGAGGGAAGCGACAAAATGTCGGTTTTAGGCGTGAAGTAAAACGCGTCTACCCCCATTTCCGATGATGCCAGTCCTAGATTACTTCCGCAGGCATTTGCCACCGTGCTTCTTAGGGGCAGCTCTGCAGCGCCTTTTCCTGCTGGTTTGCAGCTTCGACTTCGCTTCGAAATACTCCTCTTCTGACTGCCTCGAATGCCGGGCTGCTTCCTAAAATAGTGTAGCTCCCTAGGAGAAAAGCGCACTCCTAGCCTCCTGAGGTTTTCTTCGTCATCAGCAGTAGCTAAAGCAGCATCGAGCTTAGGGTTGGCGCTCAGAGTGCCCGCTGCTGTGAAGTTTCGTATCATTGTTTTTTGTCCGCCATTGGTTGCCTTTGGTTCGCTGGGTGCACGCAAGGATTTTCTGAACCCCCAAGTTTCACAAGACATTTGGGAGGAAGGCTTGCCTGCAGCAACTGCTGGAGTGTAATCAGCCTGCTGTCTCTTGGATTGCGTGAATCCTTGCCTCTCAACTTGCTGTGGAAACTGTTGAGTCAAATCTTTCTCTGACACATTGGCTTGCAATTCTGGCCACACAATTTTCGGGCGGCCGAAGTGGGAAGTGTCCAGATCGCGATTTCGGTGCTGAGATGGTAGGCCAGCTGGAAGGCACGTTGTAGATATCTGCTGCGACTGTGGGGGAGAGCGGCAAAGCGGAATATTTTCCCCTGGCTCTGGGTGGAGAGCTGGAGGCAACGTCGAGGGCACAGTGCCATAAGCGTAGTTAAGACTGGCACTCTGCTGTGAGCACTCCCGCTGAATTGGACGAAAGGGCCACTCATGCAGTGAATGTAATAGTGGTGAGGATGCTTCTGCTGCATACAGTGGAAGCACGTGTCTCCGCTGGCGGGTTTGTGCCCAGCATTCGCCGGATTTCTGGCCGCCACTAGGCATTCCAGCAGCTGGCAAAGAGGAGGGGCTGATACGTGCCAGGTGGTGATTCACCGCCCGAGACGCCTCATGATCAGTGGGTCTTTCATCCGCAGAAGTCGCCACCAACCTAGGACGCCGAGTAAAGTAGGTCAGGCCCTCGTGAGGCCGGGAGTCAAAAGTATATGGGCTAATCTCGCAACTTTCTTTAAGAAGATCTTCAACCGCCGTTCTTTCTACGTAAGGAATGGGTTGCTGCAGGCACTGCTGATGTCGCAGAATTTGCTGTTGCCGGTCCCGCTGCTGCCGCAATAGCTCGTTTCGTCTCCGTGAAACTGCTATTGCCATACTGCTAGCTTGCTGGTGTTCCATGCTAACGTTATGGGAGTCTTGTGGTCTCCATGAGCTACAGTCGTGGTAGGGGCTCACTCCACAAACGTCAACATTGTCACCTTGATTCGCATGATCAGACAAGGCTGCCCGGTAAGTCCGGCGTTCTATTGGCTTTTGAGGAGGCGGAGGAGGCAGTGGCCTGTCCTGGGGAACTGCAAAAGGCATTAACCGTGAGAGGCGGAGCACCTCATTCCGCACCTGTTGCTCTTGCTGTTTTAGAATTCTCTGCTGTGACATAAGAGCCGCCAGTTCGCACTGCCCCCAATTGTTCGGCATTATGGTGTGGCTTTGTGAATACAAAAATCAGACGCGTGCTCCGAAAGAGGAAAGGCAGTCCAATAAGACTGGCTGCTGCAGTGGAGCACGGCTAGCTGTGTGACGGGAGAACAAAGTGAGGCCCACATCGGAATATGCGGACACTCGAACTCTACAGTGGTGACACCGCGTCGCCAGAAGAGAAACCCCGCAGCACTGCCTGGTCACGCTTCCTCTGTTCTGCTCGCTGCTTCTTCCCTGGTGAACCCCATAGGTTAATGAAACTAGACAGAGCAGCCTCGCAGTGCTTGTCAAAGGAGCCGCGCGCTACAACCTGGGGCAGCTCCGTTACTTGGCTTCCCCTCTTCAGCAGTGCTACCTTCTTCTATGTAAATGCAGCATTTGTGGCTTTTCTCTAGAGAACTTCACAGGGAAGGACTCTCGCTAATGATTCGACTGTAACCCGCATAGCCATCAGCGAATCCCTGTGTAAACCTTCCGCAGCCCGCAGGTAGCCCCCACTTTTCGAGGTATTCCCCTAAAATGACTTGTTCCGAGAATCTGCAATGCAACTGTCTTCGAAATTTGCTCCGAGGCCCTGCTGATAGGAGGATCTGGAGAGGAAGGTCGTGAGCTCTAGCCGCTGCCTACACATGCGCGGGATAGTCTGGGGTGAAGAATGAGGAAAACCTTACCCCGTAGTCTATTTGTGCACACGCTAGTAAATATGCAATTATGAATTGCAGTAAGAGTGCATCTGTGGGAGTGGGAAATGCTGCTCCGTTCTCCAGCCCCCCTTACGTCACGGCAGGCGCTCGACCATCGCGAGCGCTGCCGACGTAACCTACTCGACTTCCATTGGCCGCATCGAAGTAACTGTACATAAAACTAAGACAACCGACGAAAAAAATATTATACTCTTGGCTAGCGCCGTACAAGCACTGTACTGGGGCAGATCAATCAGGTACCAGCTGCACTGTGTTCAAAACAAGGCATACTCGTCGTGCTTCACAGGAGGATGATGATCACTAGCATCCGAAAGAACCAAATAACTAATGAGACACTCCCTGCGTTGGAGCTCACGAAAGTAATTGCTTCCTTGTACTAAACGATACGATTTCGGTCAAACAATACGGTATCGGAGACCCGTAGTAGGCGGCGATTCAAAGCTTCCCAAGTCTGTAGAACACCCCCCGCGCAAAAGTTTTGCCTTATCGCGCATCTAGTGAGAAAAGCACAGCATGACGGGTGGATAGTGTAGCGGAGGGAACACGTGTAGCTGGCTCTTAGCTGGGCGTTTGAAATCTGTACCGGGGGAAGAGGAGACTGATAGCTGAGAGCACTTCGCCAGTTCGCCAGTTTCTGATAGTACAAGTGGGACGCTGTTTTAATCCACTGTAGGGGATATATAAGAAAGACAAGACGTGACGGACGGTTATCGCCGACGGGATGCTGTTGAACCAGAGGAACTGCTGCGCTATACCGAAAGTTTAATCAGGGCAAGGGCAACAGGACCACAGAAAGAGATAACCGCTTTTTTCATATAGCGTTTTAGTCTGCTGTTCCATTTCTAAGGACTCGTACACCGGGCTGGTCGGGCCTAGGGCTATCCAGAGACCTATCTGCAAGTTCCTGATCACTTTGCAGTTGCTCAGCTCCAATGAATGCTTTACTTTTGTGTACGATGCAGAAAACGCTTTTAGGTTGCATTGAAACAAACCCGGCTCCAACCAAGATAAATACTTTCCATAAAAGGTCTAACAGCTGAAAACTTCCGACCTTCTAAAGCCGATAGATTACTTTACGGCCGACTATTGCCCACAGCGTCGGAGTACACTGTTCCAGTTCTAGCATGTACCATAATATTCTTTTCGACATGGGACAGCGTAGGAGCTGAACTCCCCTCATGAGCCTCGCAAACGCTGCATGTTTCTAGGTGCAACCCCAAAAGCCCACAAGCCCAACATTTTCAAAGCAAGCGACCTACAGTGGAGAGAAGGGCCTGTAGTTATTAAGCATTCTGTACGCGGCAATAATGAACTCAGACCAGAGAGAAGTGATGGCTTCAAGCTGTGAAATTTCGATGCAAGTCGGACTTTCTAACTGCACACCACTACCCAAATGTACAAGGCAAGCGCTGTGCGCTGAGCCGCAGTGCATCCTGTAACTCCCCAGTTGTCTTTCCGTTCTTTAAAACTAGTTCTGTAAAATTGTTTCTTTGAAACACTTTTGGGTTACGTGAGGCTCTTAAAGTAGGACTCTAGACCGCAGTACGTCGAACTACTTTTGCCAAGCAGGGTTCACCTGGAGATTTTTGGGTCATGCTGAATCACTCAAATCATGCTACCTTAATACAGAGCAATGAAGTGCCTGAGCATTTCGTATCAACGTTTTGGTTTTTTGTAATCGCAGTTCTAAGCTAGCGCGCATTATAGAGGTGAAAGCGTGGCGCTGCGCATTATACACACGCATTATAACAGAACGGGGAATTCATCTAAAGACGCTGTGCACATTGGGTTAATGCTTTCATACAGCAATTCAGCTATAAACCGTGGAGATCTGATAGAAGATTCACTCAGAGGGAACTTCAGACGAGTCCAAGGCTTGAGGCTAGCAGCGCTGAGGAGAGGGGTCGGCTCTATTGTGGGCTCCTGAAAATGTCTCACCTCTCGTAAACTAAGAACTACATTGTTTTAGCCTTTAGTTAATTATTTATAGCACCAAAGACTGCAGGTACTGGATAATGAGGGCCTGCATAGGCACTTTACCCGTCCCAGTGCCCTAGAAGTAGGGATGCTGTAAGCTACTCCACAGGTCACACCTACAGTTGGCAGCCGCCACGTGCAGCACAGAGCGAAGTGATATATCAAGAAAACATAAGTTTTTAGAGCAGCTTATGAGCCCTCGTGATGGATGGGTAATGGAGGCAGCCCTGGAAAGTGAGGACGAAGTGCCTATCAGAGTGAAGCCTAGAGCCAGGATCAGCAGAAGAAAGAGAGGATAATATGCCGCTTTGGTGGAGCAAGATGCTGTGGGAAGTGCCCTCCAGTGAGCGCCAAGGTGTGCTGTCTTACGCAGGTACGACTGCAGCTCCCTGATACGAAGTTCTTGGCTATGAGGAATTTTCTGGTGGGCAACAATGCACTAGGTAGGTTTGTTAGCCCAGTATGCTATAGAGTGCTGACAGCTCAGGGTGCCGCCGCTCTCTAGGAGATGTGCGCTCACCGTCGTTCACGGCGGCTGGATGTACCTAGGCCGCATAGTGACTATACTGAATACAAGCTGCATCTTGCTTGCGCGATCAGATGTCCGTTTAGTCTGTCACGCTCTTTCTGATCTGTCTCTCGGATAAAGTTGACCTACACAATATACCGTAGACTTTAACTCCGACTTGATGAGCTGAAAACCTATGCGTGTGACAATTGGCGTGGCGTCTCTGTGAAGTTCATGCATGAAGCTATAAGATAAAATAGATAAAATATAGTCATACGACCTGGTGCCGAGAAAGGCGTCAGGCACGACGCGCAGTTGAAACTCTTTCGTCGTTCCCGCCACAAGTCACACGCCAAAGACAATGCGGGAATGCAGATCAAGACAGTCGAATCGCAAGCCTAGACGAGCTCGGATTACCTCTATGGCAGCTTAATTACATCCTCGTCCTACTTCACCTGAACAAAGGGGCCGCCCTGTGACCCTGTAATGGGCAGCATGAAGTCTTACTATGTGCACTGCCCGCACCGAATAAGTAGGCGCTACGAGCATCTATTCTTGTGGTCTTTAAAGTGGCCAATTACAGCGAGGATGACGAGGAGCTGCAGTTGCCTGATGTCATGCTTGAGCGTACTCGGCTTGATAAGTGGCTTTAGGCAGTAGAAATGCACAAACCTCTAACTGAGATACTCAACGTTGTACGTAAACAAAGAGGAACCTTCCCTAATGTCTTGCCCATCAAACTCTGGCAGAAACGGCCCTCCTGCTGTTTGGTGCCTGTTACGGTTCAGCAAAGTCCGTTATCTACATATATTGTATATGCTTCGTTATTTATTTGATGACTCCGTACCAGCTCAGCATTCACAGGCAAAAGATTACAAATGTATCGGTGAATGGGTGGGTTTCTCCTACATAGTGCCCTTCGGTGAGCGAAAGGTGCTCATGGTGATCAACTGCCAAGGTACTATGCGTTGAATGCTCTTACAACCCTCCCATTCCCTTTATTCACAGTATATTGAAGACACTGGGGGGGGTTGGGGGGGAATTTTCTTTTTAGGCTGGATTCAGATGGGCGCTTTCATCAGCTTCGTATGGCGGAGGATGGCCAGCGAAAGCGCACTTTTCCTTCAATCGTGAGAGTTAGACACTATTCAGTAATGCCCTGCGGAATTAAGGCCGTTCCAGCTACCCTTCATACCTAGATGTACATAAGCTTTGAACCTTTTCTAGGCCTGAGAATCAGTGCAAGTGGGCTGCACCAGAAAAAATCTAACCACCCAGTTAGAGCAAATTTGTGCTAGTTTGACCTTCCTGAACGTGCACCTAATAATTCGGTGTCGGATAGGCATGGAGTTGCGGGACTGTTGAGGAGTGGGTGCACAGAACCATTCATCCTGCAGAATATCCAGCATTCGCGAACCAAGCTAAACACGGCACCAGGAAGCGCAGGCATGTAATAGCCAGATTCATCCATCGATGCACTGGGAGGGGATGGGTTGAGGAGGCGAAAAGCAGAAGTCCCTTGGAAAATGGAAAAAGCAGCTGTGAGGTTTCCTTCTCTATTTGAGCGCGGAGCGGCAGGCATCAACGCCATCACAGCAGCTGCCACGTGAAGTAGGCGGTACCCTGAGATCTATCTTCGTAAACTGCATTGCTTCTCACTTGTAGAACTGATAGGGTTCACGAAGATAGACCTGGGCCAACGCTACTGGAAACGCGAGCTAGGAGATTATTCAGTACGTGATGATACCGTGCACTGAACGTACCTAAAGGATGAAGGTGCGGTCACACAGGATTAGGCAAGGCTGTAT